GATTCTATGAGAGAATATAAGCATTTTTAAAAAGATTATTTAGTTGAGAGAGAGAGCAAGTGAGCAGGGGGATGGCAGAGGGAGAGGGAGAGAAATCATCAAGCTGACTCCACCCGAGCACAGAACCTGATGTGAGGCTTGATTCCACAGCCCTGAGATCATGACCTGAGCCAAAATCTAGAGTCCGCTTAACCGAACAAGCCCCCAGGCACACTGATCTTACGCATCTTTAATAAAAATTTACAGTACTCAAATTATTTAATATGTTAAATAAATACTGAAAATTTAACTCGGTGTAAATCCAAAGGTGATTTGGCTGGTTTTTAGAGGATTAGTGGATTTTACTATGTTTGATGGGCTGAAATACAAAGGTAAGTGGCCATTGCTTAGGAAGCTCTGTACATGCCCAAATCAAAAACAAAAAAGAAATGGACAAATAAAAAAGACATTGTAATTGACACTAGTTTCTGGGCTGACAGAAATTTGATGTCCATGGTTTGCAAATATAACTTTCTAATCCCCTGCATTATATAAACCCTAATCACACATTTGCTTATTATTTCTGAGCTGGGAGATGGCATTGGTACATTGAACTGTGTGGTAACAAAATGTAATCTGGGGATTAGTCAAAGTCAAATCCCTCATGCATTCGACCTCAGAAACCTGATTGGATTTTCTCTGTGGTTGGCCTTCACTGGCTGCAGTTAACTAAGAGGTTACATCCACCTTGGTGGTGTCAAGCATCTTCCCTTCCCTAGAGAAGATCAGAGAGGTGGTCACGTGGGTTTTGGAAGTGAAATGCCCAGTTAGGGACAGGCATAAATACCAGAAAGCTGTTTCATGAATTCGTACATCTCTTGTGCAGTCCCCCTGCTTTTTTGCATTGTATTTTGTGGGACTTCATGAAAACATCAAACTTCTTATGATCCTCAATCAAGTGGAAAGTACAAAATTGTTGATTGAATGAATAGTCTCTAAAAAACATCCACAAAAGTTTTGACCAGTTTTGGATTTTGTAGCTGGAGGGCCTGGGAAAAGTCTAGTAGCCATGATTTAAGCTGGATGTGTTTGACCTCAGGCATGGAATCGGGGCTCCTCCTATTGCTGTGTAGTGTGTATTCAGTACATGCAAACCAACACACTTGTAGCATGGCATCAGGCTTTCACAATTTTCAAATAGATCTTAAACAGTGATATATTATATCTGAACATAATTCAAAGCTTACTTAAGGCAACAAGATATTTTAGCAACATAAGATTTTCACAGTTGACTGTCTAGAGATGAAATGAGGTATCATATATTTTTTATTTTTATATTCCTTTTCCAAATCATAGGTATAATCTCAAACTTTAATGTAATATATTGTAACATACATAATTTTTTTCTAATTTTTTGATCTTTATGATTTTATATGTTACTTAAAATGCTTAATGTCACTGATTCAAGGAATAACATTTGAATGCTGATTATGGAGTTATATATTGTGCATATGTGATGAGTGCTCAAAAATCATAAAAATGCAGTGTTATTTGAAAATAGGTAATTACACTTATTTTAACAAATACTTCTGTGCATTAAAAGTTCTTTTTTTTTTCATTCTACAAAGTTTTAGTATATCTAATTTTGTTGAATTTTCTATGCTAAAGGCATTTCCAATTAGAGCATAAATGCATAGATAAAAATGTGGAATTAATTTTCTTCTAATTAAAGCTGAAGTCATGAATTGTCATACTTGATGGAGCAGATGAGATGTGACTTATTGTTCTTTACTAAGGAAAACAAAACTAGTTTAGCTCATCTACACCATTAGTTCCAGTTTTTAAATCCTGTGTGTGTGTGTGTGTGTGTGTGTGCGTGCGCATGCGAACATGCACTTGTGTATTCATGTATACTTCTGAAAGAGTATATAATATTGTAATAATCATTGCCTCTGGAGAGAATGGGGGTAGGAGAAACCTTTTAAAAAATTTTATATCCTGTTATACTGCTTTAAATTTTTACCATGTATATATTTCACTTTTATAGGAAAAAAATCAAAATTAAAAGGACTCTTAAAAGGTTTTTCAACAACAATAACGAAAATTATCTAAGTAAAATTTTGCATTTCACATCCTTCAATTTTAATGTACATTTTAGTGTCCCATACAGATCCTATTTAGAATCTGTTTTCTGGATCCGAAACTAGGATAAAACAAGAAAGCAGATGGAATTATCAATTAGTTTATTTGGAAGTTTAGTATTATCCTCTGGGCCTCTCCTGCTTGCCTTCATCTTCCTCCTCATCACTTGTAATCCCTTTTGTGTAGTGTCTCCTGATACCAACCAGTTCTCCAGCACCAACTGGGTGTCCAGAAGTTTGAGCTAGTTCAGTTCTGACAGCGACTCCTGCAGGTAGGGTAGACCCCACAGAGAGAGGGCTGTGCCCCACAAGACTGCCCTCACTTCAGGCATCAGCTGCAGATGGGGTGTCCGGGCTGCTCACACTGCTGTCTGATGAGCTGCGAGTTTCGGGGTTCCACAACTCATTCCTCAGTTTTGATAATTTGCTAGAGTGACTCACCAGACTCAGGAAAGCACTCTGCTTACCATGGTTAGTTATAAAGGATGTAAGTCAGGAACAGTCAAACAGAAGAGGGATGCAAAGGCAAGGTGTTGGAAGGATGTGGCACTTCCATGCCCTCTCTAGGCACACTACCCTCCCAGCACTTGGATGTGTTCACCAGCCCAGAAGCTCTCCAGACTCTTGTTGAGGGGGTTTTGTGGGGTCTTCATTATGTGGGCACAATTGATTAAATCATTGGTGGTTGATGATTGAACTCAGTTTCGAGCTCCTCTTCTCTCCCCACAGGTGGGAGTGCTGAATGTGCCAGCTTGGCACTTGCTTGATTTTTCACATGGTTGGTTTTTCTGGCAACCAGCTCCCTCTTCCTCTAAGAGTCATCTCATTAGCATGAAGGCCAGTATGGTTGAAAGGGGCTTGTTAGGAATGATAAAGTGCACTCCTATCTCTCAGGAAACTTGTAGGGTAGGGTTTTAGGAAGTTCATGCCAGGAGTCTGGAACAAAGACCAAATATATATTTTTCATTACACCCCACATAGATACTGACTTTTTTTTTTTTTTAACCATGCATTGTTAAAGAAAAAAGTTATTCTGACACTTGTTAAAATGGTAAGGAAGACTTTATTCAGGACTATCATGATAGGTGTCAAGGCTGTCACCGTGGAGGAGAGAGATCAGGTTCAACTTGAATACATGCAAGACAGTTGAGGTTTTAGTGCTCAAGAGTGGAATGAAGGGGTAGGTGGATGGAGGAGGGAAGGCATCAATGCCACCAGGCTCTTTAGTGGTAACTGAAGCCTCCACGTTAAGTCACCTTATCCTAAGGTGCCATGAAAATCTTATTTCCTGTTTTACATGGCATAAAAAAAATGGTGGGAGAGACTTGCAGTGGCACACTGTCTTTACAGTCAGACAAGCCTGGAGGTAAATCCTACTTCTGTTATTTATTAGCAAAGTAACCTATTTGGACTTCTTGTTTGCCGTCTCTTGTGAGGATTGAATTATGTCGTGACTGTGGCATATATTAAATTCTTAGGTATTCCTAGCCCAACAAGCAAAACAAATGAATATGTGTGCCCCTTTATACAAGTGACACCACCTTTGGGTTGTCTCCATGCTGGGGCTCCCTTCCTTGAACCTGGGTATCCCGTGGTCCATCCGTGGAAGGAGCAGTGCACGTACACATTCGTTCAGCACCCATCCGAGCACCTGTTTGTGTACCTCTTACACAGCCAAATGCTACAGGCAACTGTGTGAGGAAACAGCATCTGAAATTTTCTGAGAGTGGGAAGGTGCACCCAGTGTGTGCTTCGTGGTACCTGTTTGTTGAAGGAAGAAACAGCTTTTTACCTAAGAGAAATTTACATTCTGGTGGGAGAGTATCTTGATCCACTTGGGCTGCTGTAGCAGAATACCATAGACTGGGATCCTTATGAACAACAGAAATTTATTTCTACACTTCTGGAGCCTAGAAATTCAAGATTAACGTGCCTGTACGAGGCATGTGGTGTCACACGAGGGCCCGTGTGGTTCATGGTTCTGGTTCATAGATGGCAGTCTTCTTGCTGTGTCCTCATATGGCAGAAGGGATGAAAGGGCTCCGTGGGGTCTTTTCTATAAGGCACTAATCCTTTTCATGAGGGCTGCACCGTCCTGACCTAATCACCTCCTTAGAGCCCCCACCTCCTAAGACCATCACATTGGGAATTAGGATTAGAGTTGTACAGAAAGTATTTTCAGAGTGAATATCAAGGTGAAAGTGATTGATTCCTTCCTTCCTGCCCCACTGGCGAGAGGGATAGTCACACATAAAAAATAGTATTTGATGTGGCTGATTCTTGAAGGAGATGTATAAAATTGAAATAATAACATTACAGGCAGAGAAGAGAACATTTGTGAAGACGTGGGTGTGTAGTTGATCCGTGTCACCTGTGGGGAGGGTAGATTTGGTTGGGGAGGTCAACTGACAGAACATTGTCTAGGGCGTTTAATGCCATCTCAAAGAATCAATTCCTGCAGATGTAAGCCTCAGAGAGCCCAGCAGAGCTGATGGATAGGGATGTCAGGACTTTGTTACACTGAACAGAGAATACTTTCAGGCTTTTCTTAGCGGTTTGAGCAGCCTTTTCCTGGGATTCCAGAAGGCCCCAAGAAACTTATTTTTGTTTGTGTCTGTTTTTTAGCTGGCTCACTGTTCCCTCCACTAGCATGGGCTGTTGAGACTTGACTTTGCAGAGCCATAGCACCTGCCTTTTTTCCTACTGTACTGGCAAAGAATGATTGATAAAATGGGAAATACGTCTTTACTCAAAAAACTCATGATGATCTCATAGCCCCCATTTCTGTATTTGATTTCGTGCCTCAGTAGGCCAAGCAAGAACTCCCAGCCTCTGGGGTTCTAAGACATGCACTTCATGGTTATCTTTTTTCCTCCACAGAAATAGAAAAGTTTCAAAAAGGAGAAGGCAAGGATGAAGAAAAGTACATCGATGTGGTGATTAATAAGAACATGAAGCTGGGACAGAAAGTGTTAATCCCTGTAAAGCAGTTCCCTAAGGTAAGACAGTGAGGTCTGCAGGCTTGGCAAACCCCATCACAAGGGAGCAGAGGTGGAATTTATATTCTGTTTGATATTGTCTCGAGGTGTTTTCCCATAGCATAGCCCTCCCACACCTCACACCAACACAGATATACTTTCACAGTTAATTAAAACTTAAAAACTTACTTCGTGATCCTCTCTTTTCTGATTGACTTTAGTGTTAGTTAGGAAGTCCTAAAGAATTATACTTCTGAGTCATCCTAGTGATGGGGCTTTGGACAACCTATGTGACTTCTTTCTACTCTAATTTCTTCATCAGATGAGGTTGGATTGTTAAGAATTAAATAAGGTTATCCATATTAAATGCTTAGCATAGGGCATAGACACATAAATATTCAAAATATTACCTGTTCCAGAAAAATATTCTATTTTTCATTTATTCAAGTGTGATATCATTGAGCAGGATGACAATAGGTGCTTTAAGGTTTCTATCTAGTTCTAAAATCTTGGTCATTTTAGATTTGGCATGATGATACATTGATACTCTTTTTATCCTGTTTTTCTTTCTTCTGAGTGCTTATGTACATGATTTATGCATACTGCTGTATATACATCGGCAGTTTGTTTCTTTTTAATGCTGACTAGTAGTCCATTGCTTGAGTATACCACAATTTATTTATTTATTTCTAGGGCAGTTTTCAGTTTGGAGTTACTATACATTAAATCGCTGTGAACATTTTCATACAAGTTTTCACACATTTTCATACATTTTTTGGAGGTATGTTTTTCTTTTCAATGAGTACTTAAGATTTAACTTGCTGTGTATTTAATTTTACAAGAAATTGCCATACTTTCTCCCAAAGTGATTGTACCTTGTTGCATTTCCAGGAACAGTGCAAGCCAGTTGTAGTGGCTCTCTATCTTCATCAGTGTCTGATGTTCTCAATCTGTTGAGTTTTAACCATTGTGATCATATATTGGTATTTTCCTGTGGTGTTCGTTAGCATTTCTCTGATGAGGAATGATGTGTTCATTTCATGTACTGACTGGCCACTCCTGTATCTTCTGTTTTGAAGTGTCTTTTTAGGTCCTTTGCCTATTTGTAAATGGGCTGTATGGCTTCTCATCATAGATGTAGGAGCTGTTTTAAATATCTCAGCTATAAGTCTTTTGTTAGATGAGTTTTGTGAATATTTGGCTCAGTCTGTGGCTTTTCTGTTATTTTCTTCATAGCGTGTTGTGATCTGCAGAAGTTTTTAATTTCATGATGTCTGTCTAACATATCAGGTTTTTCTTTCCTTTTACTATTATTACCTTCTGTCAACTAACAAATCCTTCAACTGATAGGCTGGTGAGGGCCACAGAGTGTGGGGTAGGGTTGGCTGGTGAGGGCCACAGAGGTGGAGCAGGTGATGTGAGGGCTGTGTTGGAGGATGAGGTGGGCTTCCCCAGGTGTGTCAATGTTGGAAACCGTTTCAGAAGGAGGGCTCAGCTGCATGCACCATCCTGCTGGGGGGAAGACTTGTGTCTGTCATTTGGAAAAGCAGGCTGAGAGATGAAATGAAATACATTACATCTCTGTGTAGCGTTACACAGTTACACACGTCTGCTACAGTGTTAAGTAAAAAAGGAAAAAGCAACATATAAAGCAGATAATATCCTAGTTGGACAATTATGTGGGGGGAAAACAACTTGACTCAAGAGTAGTTACTCTCTGGAGGGTAGGATTATGTGCCTCTTTCTGCTTTACCTGTTCTGGTACTTTAATGTTCAACAATTTGGTGCAACTTTTATAATTGGGATAAAAAAAGATTTCCATTTAGGGGAAAAATGGTCCCGACATTGTTAATTTGGGAGAAACCTCTGTGCTATGATTGTTAAGATTTAGTGTATGGGTTAAATTCTGTCCATTTCAGTTAGGAGTTTAAGTTAGATTTTTTAATTTTCTTAATTTGGTAGTTGTTAGTTAATCCCCAAGCATTCTAATACATGCATACTATTTTCAACTAACATCATGTTAATCAACATGATTTGTTACACTGAATGTTTTCCTATTAGGTACATATTTTAAATTTGTTGTATTTGCTATTTCACAGAAGGTCTTAGGTTAAGGGTGTTTGAGAGGGAGAAGAGAGAAATACTTAAACATGTTCCCTCCTGGAGTTGAAATGAAAGGTCAGGGAAATTTTCTTTTTAAAAATTGGTTTGCATTTTTCCCTTGTCACATGTTGCAGAGAAGTAAAAATCCATGAATTTACTATGAGGTAGAAACTTATTCTCTAGAAATCTTGTTGGGTTTTAAAATTTCCCACAGTAGTAAATATTTTGACAGTTATATTGGGATGTAGACACTTGCCTTTTCTGTGACTCCTAATTGATTTTCAGAGGCATATAGTATTTTTTCCAGAGGCTTTATGAAAATGTTTATTTTTGGTATCGAGTTGATAGTTTTCCTATAGAAAAAAAAGTGATAATATACTTATATGTTAGTTCTTGATATGTAAGTGCCATTACCAAAATCAGTGTTGGTGGCTAGTGGCGATTTTGGAACTTGTTGGTATCAAGGAACCCTGATACTAAAAATAGTCACTTTAAAACACATGTGTTTGTAAGTTGCTATCAGTGTCCCTCCTGGCATGCATTAACTTTTGGGACCCCATGATGAAGTTGGAAGGCCACTCTGGACTCTGGAACCTCAAGGGACATAATGACCTGTGAGGCCATTATGGTACCTTGTACCATCCAGGTCAGCTGTCTCCCGGGGCCTCTACAGCCCACTTGTCACAGGGAACCAAGGGCCATGTGATTGTAAGTAGAGATGGAAGGACAAGTCTGCAGAGGCTCTTTTCCCTCTATTGTGATCTTCTGACATATGCTGGTGTCATGACAATTAAAAAATTGGTATTTATAAATATAACTTTCAAAAAAGTCTTTTTTTACTTTCAAAAATTTTATGAAGGAATTTTATTTTATTTTTTAAAGATTATTCATTCATTCATTCATTCATTCATTCATTCATGAGAGACACACATAAGGCAGGGACATAGGCAGAGGGATAAGCAGGCTCCCTGCAGGAAGCCCAATGCAGGCCTTGATCACAGGACCCTGGGATTACAGTCTGAGCCAAAGGCAGATGCTCAACTGCTGAGCCACCGAGGTGCCCATATAAAGGAATTTTATTTTATTTTATTTTTTATTTTATTTTATTTTATTTTATTTTATTTTTTTTTGTATGAAGGAATTTTAAATCATATGTTGTAACTTTTCCCTTATTCTCTCTAAAATTCTTGATTATTGACCCAGAAAGTAGCACTTAAACCTAGTTTTAGATTTGTTAAGTGGACTCCCAAAATAGCCAGGCATAAAATGAGGGGTTCCTGAAAAAATTTATGTTCCTGGAGAATTTATTTATGTTCCTGAAACAGATATAACCAAATTTTAAGACCTTCATTCCTCCTCTTCCTGGCAAACTTAGACCTTTTTCTGTGTTTCGTATTTCACTGAATGACAGACCGCACATGTACCTAAGTGCCCGTGCCTGAAATCAGCGTGTGATTTTTGTCTACTAGCTTTTCCTTCATTCTTGAGATACTGAGACTTACACATTTATTATTTCTACTGCCTCAGTTAATTACCATTTATCTCTGTGTCTGCATTCCATTACCACTCCTTAATTTATACTGTCACCCCTCACCTATCTTCTGCAACAGGCTCTTGTCCAGATCAATTTCTTGCCTTCAGTTTCCTACCCTCCCAGCCAGACTGTTGTAGTCTAGGAGTTTCAAACTCATTATTCCATAGTTTGCTTTTTAAATTTGTTTTGTTATCTACCCACCCAAAGAATAGATTCCAGCCTTGAGCAAATAGAGACAGAAAATGTAGATTGTTTCACATTGTACATTATTTGTGTATGCCTGCATGTATGGATTTTGCCCATATCATCTTCTGGAGAAGTTCTTTATACACTCCATTGATTTTTAGAGTTGCTGATGTCTAAATAAGTTGAGCTGTTTGCCATTTGGAAGTAGATACTATTTAAAATTACAATCGATGTGGCAACACCAAATAATCTCCACTACTACCAATAATGCTTAGTGATTTGTGGTTGGCAAATTAATAAACTTAAATAATTATATTTATCTGTAGCTTTAATAGGTCACAATAATTTGTGCAGCAAAGAAAATCAATAAAAACTGTGTTGACTACTGCCATTTGATTTGGCATAAAATAAACTTTAATTCCACAAATATTTCTTGAGAATCTGTTATGTAGGAAAAATGATGACTCAAATATGGGTCCCAATTACTCTCAAAGGATTGCTCCTCTAATAGGAGAAACAAAGTACATTTCAGTAAATAATGTAGGGTATATACTGAATTACCATAAGAGAGATAGACAGACGCTACAAGAATTTAAAGAGAGAAATTTGGAGAAAGAATTACAGATGGAATTAAATTTAGTCCTTAAGCGTAAGTTCAAAATGTTAACAAGTAGAGATCAGAGGGCTGGGCAGAGTAACTATTGGGCCAGAATGATTTAATTATGGGGAAGAGTAGGTTGTAGCAGTCACTGGAATGGTGACAACTAGTCTGGAAAGCCTCTAGTGTTATACTTGGGCATCAGAATTTTATATGAGGGAGGGAGCCCTGGCATGGAGATGATCACACAACTAGAATGTATACTGGAAGGTGCCCTGTGGACGGTCTCCTTTTCTAAAATTCCTCTTAAAATTTAGGAATGATTGATTTAAACCCAAGTTTGAAATTACTTATTCTTAGGAAATTTATCTATGTAGAGGTGTTATCAGAACCATGAAAGTTATTGTCAGTAACCCAAAGCTGGACTCAGTTGATAGCTCTGCCAGGAAACAAGCATAGTTCTGAAGCACCCACTCCATTTCATGTGGATGCCATGGTCCTGAGTCTGTTATTAGGTTTATTGTTGTTTCGAGTTTGGCATTTACGACATTGGTTTACTTCAAATAAGATCAGTATTCTGAATACCAACTAAAATGTGGA